CTCCATATGAGTGAAAAATTCTCAAGAGGGACGTTAAACAATATACAATCAATCAATCAATCAAACCTAGTAAATTTGGTAATTCAGGAAGATCCTAACTTATACGAATCTGGTTTAAATTATTACATGCCTTTGTTATATTTACTTGAGATTGTTGAGCATATGGAATTTGATATAGAGTGGACCCTCATTTATCCGGACGCTTTGGTTCCCAGTCAATTTGTCCGGATATGTGAAGCATCCGGATATCTGAATCACCAGTTAAACAAGTCAGAATAACATTTTAAAATTTCGTTCCGATGAAAAATCGTCCGGATACTGAAGCATCCGGATATCTGGCGTCCGGATATCTGAAGGTCCACTGTACTGTTAATATATGCGGAAATTAATATTTTGCCAACTGCAAGCTTGATTAACTCAAGCTAGTTCATTGTATGCTGACACACAGAGTGATATACACAATTCTTAGTTGCCTTTATGCTAAAAAGGAATCAATTTTATTCCAATTTACTTGAGATGTATAATTATTTTCAAGAGAGCATGATTCTTTGTATGTTTTTATTTTTTGGAATTTTGCCAAAAGTTTTGGTAAAACTTGATATTACTACAATTGGGTTATACCTGTGCAAAAGACTACTTTGTAAAACGTATCTGATCAATCATAATAAAGCTTGTGCCTTATCAATTATGTGACCTTATATATAATCCTATCAAATACAAAATGGCATATTATAATCATTTGAGAGTTTTTATGATTATGAAAAATTAAGGGATTTTGTGATGCAGACTCAACATCTATCTGTTGCTTTTTGTGTTTTGGTGCATAACTACAATATAGAATACTCTACATTAAATATTGGCAGTTGAATTTTGAGGGTTCTGTAATCTGAAATAGGTTGCAATGTACGACAAAGAGCAAGCAAAGACATGCCTTTTATGGGTCTTTTAGTTGGTTTATGTTACTTGAGAATTTCCTTTAACAATGCTTCTTATACGATCAGTCACACATGTCAACCAGTTCAGATAAGTTGGTGGGTAACAGATAAACTTGTGTGTACATGACAATGGACTGGTCAAAGTACAACAATTTTGAATGTTGAAATTAGTTAGATATCTGAGAATATGTTATAGTTTTCTGTAATTGAATACGTTTAAGATGTGTTACTGTTAAATACTTAATTTATTTCGACCTAACTTTATTTATTACTATAAGTATGTTAGGGTGTAATGTGTCTTTATTTATGACCTTAATTTTGGTAAGAATTATTTCCCTTTATTTAAAATAACGTGTAATAAAATAAAAAAAAAAGATTATCTGATTAAAAAGGTTGTTTTAAATCGTCATTCTATTTCTAATGTTTTCATTCATCTTTCCACCACAGTATATAATTATAATATTTTAATTTTTATTTAATTAAAAAGAGCTTTTCCCCAATGCAATCTTTGTTAATTAGCTACAGCCTAGTTAGTGAATTTTCTATCTCCTGGGCAATCCTGTTTGACTATAAAATGCTTTAATATAATGTCAGAGTATTATGTACTTGATGGACATTAAAGGGTAAAGAATTTAGTCCTATTAGATATTGAAATTATTAATATTTCTATTCAAATGCTTTATACAAGCTTTAATTTGCGGCTTGTAATTTCCGCCACAGTATATGATTATAATATTTTAATTTTTATTTAATTAAAAAGAGCTTTTCCCCAATGCAATCTTTGTTAATTAGCTACAGCCTAGTTAGTGAATTTTCTATCTCCTGGGCAATCCGTTTTGATAATAAAATGCTTAAATATAATGTCAGAGTATTGTTTACTTGATTGACATTTAATGGTAAAGAATTTAGTCCTATTAGATATTGAAATTATTAATATTTCTATTTAAATGCTTTATACAAGCTTTAATTTGCGGCCCAGTCATTCCTATCAAATGTTATCGAAAACTCAATCTGAACAGGTTGATTTAAATTCCTATCAATTCGTGAATTTTAATTTCATTTTTAAAGGACCAGTATGGAGATTGAGAAAGCCTGAGAAAGTAGTTACAGCTTCTTACCCTAGTGCGACTTGTACTAATTATAAGTACTGTAAGGTTTATGAAGCCAAATTTACAGCTTTCTACTGCTAGAGCCTTTTTCAGCTCACCCTAAGACCATATGCTCACTATAACTTAATAGGATATATCTTACTCTAAAGTTGTGTTTTTTAAACAGCCATTGACCAGGTGGACAGTTCCCTAGGCCAGCAGTCAAATGAAACGATACCGAACTGCAAATAACTCAAAACAATGATGATATTAACAACATCCTTTTAGTACTTTCTGCACTTTGATTACCGCTAAGTGAAAGTGACGCAATATTCTCGTGCATGTTCAATAGACAATGCCATTTAAAGGCTACTAAATGTTGGCAAAATGTGTAAATTAATACCTTCTTCAGACTTCATTACATTGGAAAACAAAACCTACAAGAGGCCCATGGGCCACATCGCTCACCTGAGAAGCTTTGACCATTCTCTTCTTTACCGGATTTCCCCCTTGTTATACATAATGCATCCTCACCTACCCCATTGATCATAATTTAGACATTTTGAAATCTACACTACCCCATAATCCTTCCATGGGCACATATGTTTCAGCTTTTTTGGCCCAGTGGTTCCTGAGAAAAAGATTTTCAAAGATTTTTCCCACATATTTCTATGTAAAACTTTGATTCCCTATAATGGCCCCGCCCTTCCCCCGGAGGTCATGATTCCTACAATTTAGAATTTAGAATTTACACTACCCCAGAATGCTTCCGCATAAGCTTCATTTTTTCTGGCCTAGTGGTTCTTGAGAAGAAGATTTTCAAAGATTTTTCCTATATATTTCTATATATATTTCTATATAAAACTTTGATTCCCCATTGTGGGCCCGCCCTTCCCCCGGGGGTCATGATTTGAACAATTTAGAATCTACATTATACCAGGATGCTTCCACATAAGTTTCAGCTTTTCTGACCCAGTGGTTCTTGAGAGGAAGATTTTCAAAGATTTTTCCTATATATTTCTATATAAAACTTTGATACCCCATTGTGGCCCCGCCTTTCCTCCGGGGGTCATGATTTGAACAATTTAGAATCTACACTATACCAGGATACTTCTACATAAGTTTCAGCTTTTCTGGCCCAGTGGTTCTTGAGAAGAAGATTTTCAAAAAAATGTCCTATATATTTCTATATAAAACTTTGATACCCCATTGTGGCCCCGCCTTTCCCCCGGGGGTCATGGTTTGAACAATATAGAATCTACACTATACCAGGATACTTCTACATAAGTTTCAGCTTTTCTGGCCCAGTGGTTCTTGAGAAGAAGATTTTCAAAAAAAATTCCTATATATTTCTATGTAAAACTTTGATTCCCCATTGTGGCCTCGCCCTACCCCCGGGGGTCATGATTTGAATAATATAGAATTTACATTATACCAGGATGCTTCCACATAAGTTTTAGCTTTACTGGCCCAGTGGTTCTTGAGAAGAAGATTTTTTAATGACCCAACCCTATTTTTGTCTTTTCTTGATTATCTCCCCTTGCGAGGGGATATGTCCCTTCATTTTAACAATTTAAATTTCCCTTTACCGAGGAATGCTTTGTACCAAGTTTGGTCAAAATTGGCCCAGTGGTTCTTGAGAAGAAGTCGAAAATGTGAAAAGTTTACAGACGGACGGACAGACGGACGGACGACGGACAAAATATGATCAGAAAAGCTCACTTGAGCCTTTGGCTCAGGTGAGCTAAAAACGGATACGATAGTATGCCTGACTTAATATTTTTGCTCTTGGACCCCCCCCCCCCAAAAAAAAAAGCGAATAGGGGATTGTTTATGTTTTACTCCTAAAAATAATTACTTACGTTAAACTATCCCTTGACTCTCATATATTTATTAATCCTGTTATCTATAATTCAAATTATACCATGTGTGTAAATTGGTCGATGTGATTTAAACAAAAAATCTCGGGCCAAATCCAAGGTAAAATTACACCATCGGCACGTCTAATTTGGCTTGAAATTACGAATCTTGATAGTTACCCATGAATTCAACCTTATTTCATTTCAAAAATTAAAACATTGCAACAATTCAACTTCACAAAATTTTCCATGACCTTACCGTTTTATCGATTTATCGAGAAAGGAAGAGGAGGAAACAACTAAATATTAGACTATTATATGTAAACGGACCTTAATTATCAGGATTGATAGGTTGGGACTAAGGGTTAATATAATTATATATCTGAAAGGACTTCAGATATCCGGAATGGACGGACATAGGGTTACTGAAATAAACTCACCTATCCGAGATCAGGCTCGTATAAGTGGTAGTATTTTAAATGGACGATTACATTTTCAAAATAAACTCGCGAGACAGATTTTTTTGATATTTTCACTCCTGCTTTGCACTCGTGAAAATAAAAAAAAATCCTGTCCCACTCGTAAAATAAATTCCATATTCAACCAAAAAATATTGAATATCCTTTATTTCTTTCTTCATATATGCATTAGTTATAGGCGCGGTTTAAAAGAAATCACGTGCGGGCGGGACCATCGTCGCAAACCACGACCAAAAGATTTTTAGGCAAATTATCACGCAACCACTCGATTGATGAAATTTAACGTTTTGTTTTCACAAGATAATAAGTCGTTTTCACAAGATAATTTTTTAGTGGAATTAAAAAAAAATAATTGCGTATCCTATATATACCACCGTACATGTACGTATCCGTATATGTTCTAAATATATATTGCAGGTTACCAACTAGATCTATTTATTGTTACACGTAACAGGAAAGGCGTTTCAACTCTGATGCAGCTTTTTATGTGTTGAACCTTTTGATCAAGATATTCAGTTATCAGGACGATTTTGCTTGGAACGAATTCTGATAAAAAACGTAAAATGTACCCCTTTATGAATCTTGATAAGTAGACTTCTATCCTTCTACTTTCGATTTAATCTTACCTTAAAGTATAAGTCTTGCATGGGAAACCATACATTGACTGCGTCGCAAAAAAGGTTTTTATTTTCTTCCTTGTTTGACGTACAATGTAAAAAGTACAGAGAGACGTGGATAAAATGGAGTCCAATGCGGTGGTTGAGCGTAAGTTAATTAGAGCTGTAAAGGAAGAAAATGTTGAAGAACTTGAACAGATATGTGTTTCCCTTCCTACGGACTTTAATATTAACAACGTTTTTGAGAAATCATTTTATGGAGGCTTTCAGGAGACACCTTTACTTCATCTTGCTTGTTGTGCTAAAAACGCTGATATTTTGAAAATTTTAGTGAAATATGGCGGAGACTTATACCTCAACAAACTGGACGGGGTAAATATATTTCAATACGCTTGCCAGTACAAAAATCTAGATGTTATGAAATTTATTCTAGAGGGATGCAATGATGTTGATTTCCTTCAGACCTTTTCGAACAGTGGAAATGATACGCTCTCTTTTGTGGCAGATTCATTTGAACAAAATCAAAAGGAGGCGCAAATTTGTATGGAATTTCTCGTATCGAAAGGAAAATTCAATATCAATCGAATTCAAGGGGATAGGTTAACTGTATTACAGAAAGCTGTTTCCCAAAATAGATGCGAGTTAGCAGAAATTCTTTGTCAACTTGGAGGAGATGTGAACTTTGGGTATCTAAACAATCTCAAAGCAATTCAGTGGGTAAGCATGCAATGTGGATATCATGATATGATACAAATACTTATAAACCACGGAGCAAATAAAAACGAAATCTGGCGTGGCCAACGCCCAATTCACCTAGCTCTTTCACGTGGTTTAACAGAAAATGCAACTGTTTTGATGCGTGCAGGTGTGGACATTTCCGGTTCGATAAAGCTACATCATCCAAAAAAAATGTGGATTTCTACCTTTTGTCTTGCTGCTTGGCGATGTGCTATGCTAATTCCCGAGTTTCTAGCTCTGGGAGCTAGCCCAAACGAACAGGATTGCACCACTGGATATTCTGTAATTGGATTTGCCTTAGAAGGAAATGCCAGTCGGGATGTGATAAAGTTGCTCATTCAGGCTGGTGCTGATATTAACAAAGCATGTCCCGGAAAGACAGCAATTGAATTTTGTAAAAGCATAGGTAAGTATTTTTTTAAATCGATAAAGAGATTTAAATAAATCGTTGGTAAATTTTTGAGTCTAGAATGCAGATTCTTCTGCCATAAATCAGTGCTGATTACCTCGAATCTACAGTGTAATATAAATTGATACACAATTTTTCTAAAGAGTTTACTTTCACACAAATAACACAAATACAAAACAGACGTACATGTAAATAAATATACAAGATAGTTTGAAATAAAGTAAAAACAAAAAAGCGGTAATAGAACTTGTATGAACGTTAATGTAGAGAGAGGGAGGGAGAGAAAGAGGAAGTGAGAGAGAAAGATGAGGGGACACACACTTTATGGAATAAGTAATGGTGAAAAAAAAATTACATCCGCCAAGAAAACCCGCTATATGGTAGTTTGTATTTACCTTCATATTATTTTGAATGAAATCAAAACTGTAAAAGTTCCATTAAAATCTAAGAAATCGCTGATAAGAAACTTTTCATGAAAATTGACTGGCCACCAATGGTAAAATCTGGATTATGACATATGTGTTCTTGGAGAGGACTTGAATCAGCTATAGATTAAGCCTGATTAACTTTATACCAGCTCGAGAATACATGTTTCTAAAAGTTATTTTTCATGGTACTACTCAGAAGTCAATTCCAAACAGCCAAAGATTACTTTTACTTTTTGCAGAGATTCTAGGTAATTTAATTAGAAACAAGATATCGATGTGTTTGTAAAACACTGATACCCCCGTATGGCAGCATAGCTAAGATCAAGCTTTTTCTTAAATGCAAATTTAATTCATTGGTACCAAAAGTAGGGTATTCTCACTGGAAAACAATTGTGAAATTTGAAAGTAAGCTAATGTTAAAGATTTTTAATAAGTACAAAAATCTCCAAGGTCAAAAAGTCAATGTAATTAGTATCAAATGAAAGGTCTTGCCACATAAAATATTTATGTAGAGCATGAAAGCCCTAGCCCTAACCGTTCAGAAGTTATGGTCAACGTTCAATTTCTTAAAAAGTAGATCAAACTCCAAGGTCAAGGTCAAAGTTATTGTTATCAAATGAAAGGTTTTGTTATTAGGATCAAATATGTAAAGTATGAAAGCACTAGCCCTAACTCTTTAAAAGTTATGGTCAAGGTTTGCTTTTTTTAAAGTAGGTCAATCTCAAAGGTCAAGGTCAAAGGGTCAAAGTTCATGGTATCCAATGAAGGGTCTTCTCACAAGGATTACATATATGAAGTACGGAAAGTAAATACAAGGTCAAGGTCAAAGGGTCAATGTTGTTGGTATCCAGTGAAAGGTCTTTTAACAAACATTACATATGTGAAGTATAAATGTCCTGGTGTCTACTGTTCAAAAGATATGGCCAAAGTAAAATTTTAAAATGTTCATGTAAAAGTGGGCCAAACTCCAAGATCAAGGTCAAAAGGTCAAAAGGTCAAATTTTATGATACCCAAAGAAAGGTCTTGTCACAAGGAATACACGTATGAAATATGAAAGTCATAGCTCCACTAAATCAAAAGTTATGGGCAAGGTTAAAGTTTTTGCGGACAAACAGACAAACAGAGGCAGACAATTAGACAGAGACAGACACGCCAAAAACTATATACCCCCGAAACTTCGTTTACGGGGGCATAATTATAAATAAATTACAGATTTTAAATGATTAAATAATCTGTTTCTCTCTGATTGGCTAAGATCATGATAAATATGCCTATGTTCAAGTCTGTGTGATTTACACACCAATTATTCTAATTCAACTTAAAAAACATTCCATATATTTACATTTTCCATGTCTTAAGCATCGAAAATGTACCCAATAATTGATTTTCTCGATGTCTTCTATCGTTATATTTTTACTATTAAACGTCTCAGTGAGCCCAATTGCGACCTCATGTTAGCGCACTTTTCTCACAAGATGTATATTTCTACGCGTGAGTTAGGAACAAGAGATGAAAATGTTTTTAAAAAAAACCTTACAATTTACGCACACGGACAAAGAGACAAGAGATCACCCGAGTGCGAATGGTAAAAAGCACTGTATTAATTGAAAAGTATTGAGTGTTTTCAAATCAGGGGATACTGTAAGTTAATGTTTAAATAGCATTTTAAGTCATTTGAACCGATGCAAGTTCCAAGAATTTGTAATATAAAAATGTTTAATTTTAGTTCAAATAATCATATCGTTGTTTAAAACAATATTTCGTATTCTTGCACTGGTAGTGTATCTATGCATATACCTAATCCTGGATTTCAGTCTAGCTATCTTTCTTTCAGATCAATTACTTGCATTTATTGACTGTGGAGTGTCAGTTAAAACAATCGAAAGTCAGATAGGAACTTCGCTTCTCAGCATGGCAATCTCAAGCTCTTCTGAAGATACTGCGGAAGAAAATGTTAAATATCTTCTATCTAATGGTGCAAGTCTAAAGGATCCTGCAAATGGAAAAGATTCTATTTTGATAGCCTCTCTGAAAAGAAGATTTTACCGCATTGCGGACTTTCTTATAGGACAAGGTGTTAATCTGAACCACAGGGACGGAGAGTGGAGCACAGCACTACATGTTATCTGCAATCAAGGTTTGTAAAATAATTAATTTTAATTCTCGAGATGTTTCTTTTTCCTTGACTCTATGATAAATTAAAATTTTTGTGTAACTGAAAGGGGTTGGATTGTTGTGGCCATTTTCAGACTATTTTGATCTCCTTTCGAAGAAGAGCTCCGTATAAAGATATACAAAAATGATCAAATTTTTGAGTGCTGAGTCAGATTTTGAATCCCTTTTACCGGTATATGAAGTTTCTATGGAGTAAACTATTTTCAAACCTGACGTACATTCTATTAATTATGAATGAGTTTATCTGCCAGTATATATAATTATGATTGTTTTTAGCATTGAGCTCTTTACCAGATTAAAAACTATTAAATGACCGATTCATTGCATTATGTCTTAGTTTCATCTTTGCAATACATTTGATTCATATAGCGACAGTTTTTCAATTTATGAAATAGTTCTTTTTCTTTGAAGAATTCAAACGTTTTTTCTTCATTTATTTCAGTCGATGGCTGCTCCCAAAGTAGAATTACTTTTGGCAAGACAGAATTATTTTTCTGTCAGAAGTGTGGATGTAAAAGAACAATGCCAGCTGCTCAATTCCATTCTATGCAATCAGCATGCAATTCCCTTTGTAACGGTTCAGGTATTTATTCAAAATTAAAAATCATCAAACAAATACAATGCTTGTAATATATGTTTTGGAGATAAATAATGGACAAACGTCACTGAAACGTCACCGGTAACCCGTATCAAGGACCAGTCCGAAAATCCATATCAAACCAAAGGAAACGTTTGTTTAAAATTTAAAAGTTAATATACCTGATTTTTAATAAAGTTGTTGCACGCTTTATTAGTAGTAATAGTAGTTACCATCGCCATAGCATGGGGATTGCATGACATTGGCGCATCTGAGGATCTCAGAATATGTTGAACCATAAGTTAATCACATAGACCTACCATTTGATTTTTTCTTTATTCATTGTTAAATTTTGATCTATTTGATATTCATGAAGGCTGTTATGTTCCTCACACGTTTTCAGTTGATACATCTTAGGATCTCAGATTATGTTGATTCAAAATATAGGTCACTGTGTCCTTTTTGCATCGCCCCGTGGGGATCCGGATTAGAATAGGTCCTCAGTCACCCCTTGCTTGTCGTAAAAGGCGAAGAATTACAATATTTTCAGTTGATGCATCTTAAGACATCTAGATAGGTTGACCCAAAAGTAAGTTATTGTGACAACGGTAACATCTACGTTTTATCTTCATTTATGTTCAAACCTTAATACTGGCAGACTTTTGCACTTGAAGTTATCCGGACTGCGGGGGACCGCAATTCTTTGAATGTCCTTGTTTCTCTGAAAATCTTCTCTTCTTCGGCTGGGTATTAAATAAACAAACTTAATGTAAAATTATAATGAGAAAAGGTACCTCTCATTGTGAATTTCATAGTCCCCGGGTCAGGGATTCTGGTGTTGGGTTGAAGTTCTCTTGATTATATAGTGAAAATGCAATAATTATTTGAAATCCGTCTTCTCTGCACATGGGTATTAAACAAACTAACAACAAACATAGATATGAAAAGCAAGGGTGCCTGTTCGAAAATTGTGCATTTCATTGCCCCAGGGACAGGAGTTCTTGTGGTATTACAAGGCTGTATAAATCATAAAAATTTCTACATTGTACTAAGGGAAAACTAGAAGATTTTTACACTCAATGGCAACAATAATTGGACAATCTGGAAGACTGATCTATGTTTTAAATTTTTTTTTATAAGTTTAAGCCAAAACCATTTCTAGTCATTCTTTAAGATAATTTAAAGTCTAAAGCTATTAGAAATATTGATTATATATTTTTACTGCAATGTTACATGTATGTATTTTATCTTAATTTGTTAAATGTAAGAGCAAATAAAAGAGTAACCAAATTAAGCATGCTAAGTGTATAGTAATGATTAGCATTGGTGCTTCTTTAAAAATTGTGAATGTCATGGCCTATGGTTTAAAACATGACCAAAACTCAATGGTTGGAATGTTATTACATGATACTCAGTTGTCATATATGGCCCATGTACTTATTTTTTGTTTAAACTCTTCATTTACATAGAAAAAACTATGTATACCAAAGGGTAGACCATCATTCATGGAGTTCAAAAGAACCTTTATTGCTTGTAAATCCATCTGTCGTGTTAAATAATCACCTTTAAAGGAAAATTTCCATGGAAAAAAAGTTCCTATAGGAAAAATAAAATTCCCAAGGGATAATTTTAAAATCCCAAAAGATTTATTATCCTTAATGCGTAGGATTTTCAAGAATTGTTAAAGCGTCTTTATTTTATGAAGTGTTTCAAACAAAAAAGAAGGTCACAGTGACCTTTTCCCTTTGCAATTTACGGTAATGAAGGATATGGAGATAACGAACAGTATTCAATAAAGTCCATAAAAAAATACAAAATAGGAGCAGAGCATACACGGACCTCCTAAACATCAGAGATGGAATCAGGTGCCATGGAGGAGTGTGCATCCCCTGATGACCGGTCACAACAGTCGTGTTCTCCTTGTCAGTTCATAAATAGTATATAAATAATGGACTAACAATTGGTATGAAAAACGTCAGTCAGCATTTGACTCAATGATAAATTATATTTGCTGACAAGGTCATTGTATCGACCAAAGAACTTACGAAATGATAACTTTAAACGAGACTGCTGATATTCTTGTTTCATCAACTTGTTTCTCAATAATTTATCTCGTTTTAGAAATTGTTCATACGTAGAACATGCTCTTGTGTATCGAAACAACTTAGATATATAAACGCCGTACGCAGGTGTTGAAGGTATATTGCTACATAAGTAAGGGAAGTTGACTATAAAAAAGTTAGGTCCTCACATTTATCACAGAGCTTTGTTGCTAGATTACCATTAACGTCTTTTTCAAGTAAAATATCCAAATATGAAACAGATGTGTCAGACTCTGTGATATCTCAAGGTCACCAGGATATATCGTTTCGACAAAAAAAGGAAATTAGCATTGTTAATTGACAATACGTCGCCAATATATCTAATCGTTGAGTAGAAGGCTTCATATAAATACAAAAATAGGTCTGCTAATAACGTGGCGCAATTGGTGCCTATGGGAATTCCAAAAGATTGATGGAATACCTGGTCACCAAAAACCACATAGATATTGTCAATAAGAAATTCAAGCATCTTTTTGATGTCAACTTCAGAGTACTTGTGTATGCAATCAGAATGTTCTTCAATTAAATAATTTGCAAATGACCAATGACCAAGTAAGTAATTTACGAGTTCCATTTTTATTGAAAAAGCAGCTGTATATGATATCAAAAAGCCTGAACTTTATTCTATCGTGGTAAATATTTGTGATTAAAGTTGAAAAGTCGTAAGTTTTTAAGCTGTTGATTTTGGTAAAATCTTGTGATTTCAAATTGTTCAACATTTCTTTGGAATTTTTGAGTATCCACGTCTTTGTTTGTTAGGATCCTTATGAAATTTCTGAATCTAATATATATATATATGTCTCTTTTATAGGCAACGATTGGGGTCTTTTTGAACGCGAGTTTCAGGCGATCGGAATTTTCAAGAATTTTTTGTCTTTTCTTCAAAATGTTATGAATATTCGGTAATCCTTTTGAATAGGTCAACACAAGGGGAACACGGTCACATCGCGTTTTATTTTTTCTATAATTTAGTAGATCCGAGCGAATTTGTTCTATATAAAAATAAGACGAATAAACATGCTATACCAATACATAAATAATAATTAATTTCAGTACAACATGTATTGGTAACAATCCTCTGTTAAAACTAATGTCCAAATAACTGTATCTCACTTCTATTCTATTTTTCTTGTTTAATTCCAAAAAGCCTTTCCAGTCCGAGTTGACAATTGTAACAAGCATCAATTTGTGCACATTAATGAGGAATAAGTATGACTCAAACAGGCTTAAATACCCCCGCAATCATCGGTTGCTATGTTCAAAATGCAACTTCCGTTATAAAAAGAGTGCTCGCATTTTTAAACGCAACGGTAGAAATTTATTAAAATTCAAAACATGCAAGCATGACAGTTTTTGTTTATTTTAATACCCAACATGACTTGCATGGTATTGGATGAAATTGGGGGTATCCAAGGCAGGAACTATAGCGTAATTTCACTATAATAGTGAGGTACCACTATTATAGCGGAATTTACGTTTCCCCCCAACCTGCTAAAGGCTCATAGATATAGATTTTGATAAATCAAGAGTGTGTCGCAACGAACCTATTGTTTGTTTGTTGTTTGACGTACCTCTCGAAAAATCTTTACTCATATGGAGAAGCCACCACATGCTGTTAGAGAGCTGCAAATTTTGACCTATACTCGACATACAGGACCATTGAGCAGTGAGGGATCTTTTACTGCGACACGAGACCTCGGTTTATACGGTATCATCCGAAGGATTGGTCTCCACCTCCCACAGTGGGATTCGCACCAGAGATATAAGGATCGTATCCTTACTCCACAATTCTAGAGCAGACCTAAACACTCAGGCGATAACCCTTTTCTTTAATTTAACTTTTCTAAGCCTTTGATTATATTTCAATTATTTTTTTTTCAGAATCTTTTCAACATGAGAAAATTGTAAAGTTAGTTTCAAAACTGCTGGCTGCCGGAAGTTCAGTCAATGCAAAGAACGTTGCAGAAATAACGCCACTACTAGCAGCATTAAATGTGATGCCATGCAAAAGTTACCCACACATAAAAAATGATGTAATAAAAATCCTTCTTGACAATGGGGCTGATATCAACGTTTGGTTTCAAACGGAAAACAAATCCACACTGTGTCATTCCATCGAAAGTGAAGAGGTTGAAACGACGAAATTTTTGGTTGAAGCTGGCTACGACGTGAAAACAAAAGAAGCAAATGGAGAACTACCCATCTTCCGTTGTTTACCATTAGGTACACCTATTCACTTCACATGAATTGATTGCTGCGTTGAATTTTATTTAGTTACTTAATATTCCCAATCTAGTTGTTATTGAATCTATACTGATTTTTTTTGTTTCCTGATCAATACACTCACAACGGGTCTGACCGCTAGACTAGGATTCTTATTACATTGTATTCCCCGGCACATAATCTCACTTCTGACATTTTAGTGTGAGACAGTCACCCAGGTGACGTTTAGTCGAAAATTACATTTGAAATGATGTACTTGAATGATGTTGACAAATCTTTTCCTCGTTTTGATTAATTTACGTAATGTACATTTACGCTCCCAAAAATTACCCGCGGAAACCCTTTGTTCCAGCCTACATACGCTGCCTATAAGATAATCAAAGGCAATTCAAAGATATTCGCATAATTTTCTACCTGACGATTCAATAAAAAAAAAATTGATTCCATGGAATCATGAACTTGTGGAAAGACGTACATTTCCAACATATATTACAACACTTAAGCAGACTTGGTCAACCAAGTACTTTTCCATCTTCAAGTATACCATTATTGACTTTATGAGGTAATGGCTGGTAAATGAAATCTACATGTGTATGCGTATAAATCTGCATGCTCAATGCAAATTTCTCCCTCCGTCAATCTGCACTCAAGTGTTGCATTTATAAATCACTATTAACGCAACGTCTTTTCCAATAAGTGCTGTTTATTTCTTAAACTCGTACAGAACAAGCTATAGCTAGTCCACTTTTATATTGTGGGGTAGTGTAAATTTCAAATTGTCTAAATTATGATCAGTGGGTTGGATGGGGTGACAATATGTATTACAAGGGGGAAATCTGGTGAAGAACAGAATGGTCAAAGCTTCTCAAGTAAGCGATGTGGCCCATGGGGCTCTTGTTCTTAAAATATCCTTGGGGTTTTAGCCAAAATATATACTATCACAAATTTCACATAGACTTAAGACATGTATCTAGTTCTCTTAAGATTATGATAGATGTTAAGATTATCATAAGATATGACAGTTTTGTGAAACGGCTTATGAGCAATCTTAGATAATTTTCGGTCTTAAGACAGATCTTAGTCATAAGAGAGTTTTGTGAAACATGCCCCTTATGAATATTACAATTCATCACTTGATGATTTTCGAGTGTCCTCGAGAAAACATTTACATTGTATTCTTTAACTCAACCATCGTTCTTACCATCGTCCTTAATCATGTCTTGGAGCAGCTGTGGAGCGACTTTGTTTGCCACTTTTAGAAAGAAGTGTAAGATTAAAAAATTGAAATTGGAGATGCACATTGGCATTATGTAATAAGGAGTCTGTGAAATTGTCATTAAATTTGACTGTGGTATAGAAGGAGCTGTGAATAAGAAATGGGTGTCATCAATCATCAATATATTATAGAATAAATGGCAGTTTCCATGTTTTGCTTTGGAAAACCCAAAATATGTGTCGGTCAAAAAGTAAAAAAGATAAAATATGTAATAAAGATTCTGTAAAAGTTCAATACTTCTATTCATAATAGATATAATAGGTATAAGAGGAGTTGCGCACACACAAGCGTAACAGACTGATGGACGGACCTACAGACGGACAGACATCCCAATCACTATATGCCCTCCAACTTTTCAAGCGCGGGTATAAAAAGAGAATATTAATGTTCTTAAACATGCATATTTTTTTTACAGATACGATTGCTAGGAGAGAATTGTTTTGTATTTTGTTGGAGTCTGGAACCAATCCAAATGCAGAGGATAGCAAAGGAATATGTCTTTTGGATCATGTCTTCTCACTGTTATTTTCTATGAGCTCTTATTACATTCAGTTCGATGACTTAATGCAAGATCCTAGAGCTGTTGCATTAAAAGAAATGTTTTGTTTTTTGCTTAACAAAACCGCCAATCCTAATACAGCAAGGGAAGGAGAAAATTCACTTCTAATCAGGGCCATTAGATGTGGAAGTACAGATATAGTTCTCTCTCTGGTCCAAGCCGGTGCTAACATTGCTCATCGAGGGGAAAATAAGAAAACAGCAGTGGATTGGTGTTGCCGTTTAAGTGAATATACGAGGTGGTATCCGTACACAGGTATAATATATGATATATTTCTGGTATACTAAAATAAGTTTTTTATGCCCCCGGATCGAAAGATCCCGGGGGTATATTGTTTTTGTCCTGTCTGTTTGTCTGTTTATCTGTTTGTGTGTTTGTCTGTCTGTTTGTTGTCAACTTTAACCTAGTCCGTAACTATTGGGTGGATAGAGCAATGGTTCTCATATTTCACAGTTAATTCTTTTGGTACCACCAAAGTTCACCTTTTGACCTTGACCTCGGAGTTTGACCCACTTTTAAAAAACTTTAATCTTGGTCATAACTTTTGAACAGTTCAAGTTTGGGCTTTCATATTTTACATGTGTATTCACTGTGATGAGACCTATCAGCTGGTTTTAATTTTTTTGACCTCTTGACCTTGACCTCGGAGTTTGACCCACTTTTAAAAAACTTTAACCTTGGTCATAACTTTGGAACAGTTCAAGTTTGGGCTTTCATACTTTACATGTGTATTCACTGTGACGAGACCTTTCAGCTGGTTTTAATTTTTTGACCTCTTGACCTTGACCTCGGAGTTTGACCCACTTTTTAAAACATTTAATCTTGGTCACAACTTTTGAACACTTAGAGTAAAGGCTTTCATACTCCACATGTGTATTCATATTGATATTAATAATACTTTTCAGCTGGTATAAATATTTTTGACCTTGACCTCAGAGTTCGACCCACTTTTTTGTAAAACCTCTATTCTTGATCATATCTTTTGAACAGTTAGAACTAGGGATTTCATGTTTCCTATGTGTATTTCATATATTAACCATAACACATTAAAATTAAAAAACAAAAAAAAATGTCTTTAGTATTTTCACCATTGCAACCCTTAAAACATCTCACAAGTGTATACCACTTCCGTCTACGTCCCACTCCAGAATTGTGTTACCATCGGGGGCATAGTGTTTCACAAACACATCTTGTTTTTTTTATCAAATACCTTTCAGTTTTTTCTGTAATCGTAATTGTTTTAAACTCACCTGAGCCGAACGTTCATGTGAGCTTTCCTGATCGCATTCTGTCTCTAGTCTGTCTGTAAACTTTTCACATATTTTCGGCTCCAGAACCACCAAGCTAATTTTAAACAAACTTCCTACGTAGCATCTACGTAGCATCCTTGGGTAAAGAGGATTTAGACCATCCCTTCTTTCGAGGCGAGATAATTCTTAACAGTGAATGCTTTAAAAATCTGTTCAAGAACAACTTGACCAAACATGTTCAAACATATATGAAACATTCTTTACATAGTGTAAATTTAATGACTCCCAGTACGCTGGGCCACAATTAGGAATCAAAGTGTTTTCCAATACATAGGGTAACTAGATGCTGTCATGAGACAGTAATACCCACACTATGGTGTTTGCCTCTAAATACACACTCCTTCATATTCACCGTGCCATAGCGTTACAATGATGCAATTATTCCGTAACGTATGATGAAACGATTCCTTATGGAGTTTTAACATGGAGATTTGACTAAGGTTAGTTAATGTCGTATTTGTATGCCTTAAACGCAAAATAGCCGTAATTGTGTTAGCCGTTGCATTATTGGAATGACACAGGCATCTGTTGACATAACGGACAATGTCCAGTGATGCGCCGTTTTCTTAAACACTTTGCACTTTCCTAAGAAAGAGGCTTAAAAATTCGATTTATTCATAGAACTTTTTTCCCAATCAAGATACAAGATCAGCTACAAGTTTACCATAATGAACATTCGCTGTTTTTCTATTTCACTCTAGAATTGTGATGACAATATTTATTTAATCGCTTTTAACATGGGTTTTTAGAAGTAACGTATGATGCAACGATTCCCATCATCAGTAACGTGCGATGCAACTATTCTTTAACAATCGTATTATTAGACCAATATGTTGGATTTCTTTACTAGGACACGTTTCAACGTAGAATAATAAAATTACTCATCGCTTTCTTTTTATCACAGAATACCAAAAGGTTAAGAACAAAGCAAAACTTGACTATAGAACAGCAAAAAGAAAAAAAGTACAGCAAGAATAAAGTCATTTCATCCCCTTACCCAACTCCGAAAAGAAAAAAAATTTCTACCCCATTTAAATCAACAAATCGACATGTTGATAACCCAAACAGAAACACTGCAAAAAGTCCCCAGTATGCATTATTAGAGAATGATTGGACATTGAGTGAAACCCATGGTCCTGCTTTTCACAATTATTCTCCAAAGTGTGAGAGAATAGTTACGAGAAATGCATCACCATCTGTGCATAAGCTACACTCACAGCCACCTCGCATATTTCTTCAACAAGACAACTATTAAAACGATTTACTGGCCAATGTATTACAAAAGTTAGATAAAGTTGACTGTGAAAAAGACTTTGATTTTTTTTTAGATCGCAAATACCAAATTAGAAGATCAGTTATTCCCATTCTAATGCAATTCATGCATTGTTTTTCTTGTTTACGTCTTGTTTTGATGAATTTTGTTACATGAAATACGCCACGGAGGATTGTGTTTTGCGTCGCTCTATTATGACGTCACAATGAAAAAGCTTTCACGCTCGTTAATGCTCGTTTTACTGCTTCAAACATCAGTTTATTAGCCAATCAAAAAGTGTTTTACAAAGCAATTGCCTTAGAATGAATATTGTCATCACAATTCTAGAGTGAAATAGAAAAACAGCGAATTTTCATTATGGTAAACTTGTAGCTGATCTTGTAACTTGATTGGGAAAAAAGTTCTATGAAAAAATCGAACTTTTAAGCCTCTTTCTTAGGAAAGTGCAAAGTGTTTAAGAAAACGGCGCATCACTGGACATTGTCCGTTATGTCAACAGATGCCTGTGTCATTCCGATAATGCAACGGCTAACACAATTAGGGCTATTTTGCGTTTAAGGCATACAAATACGACATTAACTAACCTTGGTCAAATCTCCATGTTAAAACTCCATAAGGAATCGTTTCATCATTCGTTACGGAATAATTGCATCATAGTAACGCTATGGCACGGTGATATTGGACTTTCCAAGGAAGAAGTCAAAATAATCCTATAATTATCACCGTACATGTATTCGTCAAATTGAACATAAAATTTTCAGGTGACCCTCACATATGTATTTTAATGAGCCTCACATATGTATTTTAAATACTTAAGATCATTACCAGTCTGAAATAGCAGAATTTAATTAATGATTGAAGTAAATTACTTAATTAGATTCAGATAAATATTTTGCCCATAATTTGGAACTTTTTAAATTTACTTTCTCAACGACATAAAATATTATTTTAGTACAAAGCGTTTTTGATGAATTTATCAAAATGTGCAAACTGAATTTAGTACTTGGTCGGGAAAAAAAACCCATTGAAAATACAACCTGATTAATTTGTCAATGCCTATCTCTCTCTCTCTCTCTCTCTCTCTCTTTCTCTCCCCCCCCCCCACACACACTCTCTCACTCTCACATTTTTTTAAAAATAGACCTAGATGACAGTTATGTTAAAACATAGTTTATTATGATAGTTTGAAATTTGTTCTTGTACTAAACAGTTTCACGTGTGAACATCTTATTTTCTACATTCACACTGGGTTTGCATCACCCATTATCATATTTATAGATATCACTTCTCGGCACACCTCGGCCGATTCATACTGGCAACGGAATCAGCAAAGGTTTGTCGAATGAGATTATTTAGCACATGTATGCTGACGATGCAGTGTGGTCAGTTAAAATCATTGGTGTTTTAATTGGATTATATTTCATGAATTCGTTGTCACGACTTATGACATTCGGTAAGTACAAGATTTAGTATAGATTGCATAAAAATAAATAAATGCAAATGGTTAGGTTGAAGTTCAAAAAGGGTCAAAGATCATCGCATGCCACAGTCGACAAATTTCACATTGTCAAGTTATCTCCCGTTGCGGACATTCAGTATATACAGACGCAGATCCAGAATTTTTTTTTCAGAAAAGGGGGGGGGGGTTCACACCTCAGTCAAAAAAATCAGCCCAAGATTTCCTGAGAAGCAAAAAAAAATAATAATAAAAACAATGATGGTGGAGTCCCTGTTTTCTAAGGGGGAGGATGTCCAAACTCATTTTTATTCTCTACAGTACATATATAGTCTTATTTAAATAACTGCTAATTCCAGGGGGGAGGTCTGATCTCCCTAGCCACTGACTCCCTGTACCTGAAATGACAATTGATCTTATGACTCCATAATAGTAGAAATTTTTTTCATTTGACTATATATACATATTTTGTTTCCTATGTTTATGTATGTTTGTCTGTCCACGGAAACTTTAACCTTGCCCATATTTTTTAAGTGGATTGGGCTATACACATGGCTTCAATATTTCATAGGTAAATTTCTTTTGGCAAAACCTTTTAATGGGTACCACCAATTTTGACCTCTTGATCTCTTGACCTTGGAGTTTGACCCAATTTTACAAGAAAAATACGTTAAACTTGGCCTAAGTTTTGAACAGGTGGTGCTAGGACTTCCATGCTCTAACATGTGTAATCATTGTGAACTTTCAACAGGTATAATTATTTTTGACCTAGACCTTAGAGTTGAACCCAATTTAACTTTAACCTTGGTAATAACTTTTGAACAGGTGAGTAAGTTCTAGGGATTTCTCTCTTTTTTCACATGTGTATTCCTTGTGACAAGACTTTCCCTTTGATACCAACAATTTAGACCCTTTGACCTTGACCTTGGAGTTTGACTTACATTTGAGAAACTTCAACCTTTGCCAAAAGCTGCCATAACAGTTGCTGTCACAACAAACAAACAAATTACTAAAAAAAAACACAGTATACATGTACATATTTTATATTCAACAGATATACATCTTGTCATATCTCTAGTTCTCCCTTGAATAAGACATGGTGATATAAATTTTAAAAAATAATTATGATAAGAGTTGAAATGGTTGTGCATATTAAATATACTAAGCTATGCGGATGAATTAGATATACCAGTTTAGCTTTATTTTGCTACCCAAA